GCAACTGGTGTACCAGGCGAACCTGGGCAAATGCCCCCCTGGTCACAGCTGACAAATGATGTTCGAAGGTCAGCTTCCTGCTAATGAATTGTTTTGCAATTCTCCTTTGAGCTCTTCTGTTTGCTTAATCTGAGGACAAGAACACAAGAGTTGGCAGAGAAAACTGCCGATACTTTGTGAACTCATATGCATCCCCAGAGATGGTCTGCTGTCTTCAGGTGAAGTCCTGCTCTCCATCACAGTTCAATCAGCAGCCATTGGTCACTAGCCTCTGCCTGTTGAAGGGCATCATTGTGCCTTTCAGGCAGCCAGGTATTTTGCTTCTGCTGTGATCCAGTCTTCCTCTGTGGAAGCCCATTGTGCCTGATTTCTGAGCCACAGTAGTTAGAGTTCAGTGCAGTGGTTAGAGGCAGTACTGCAGGCTACTTCTGTTGCCTGCTGGCTACCTGCAATCTGGCAGATTAAATATCATCAGGCTCAAGGTTGACTCAGCCTTCCCTCATTCCGAGGTGGGTAAAATGAGGACCCAGATTGTTGAGGGCAGGAATCTGACTCTGTCAACTGCTTAGAGAGAGCTGGAAAGCACTATAAGGCTAAGTGCTATTGCTATTTCTCAGGAGAAGCTCTTCTGCTGCCAGCTTTTGATGTTTCATGCTCCGTCCTCTTTATGTCCCCCACAGGGACATCTTAAAACATGGCGGCTCAGCCGTAGATGCAGCTATTGCGGCCCTGGTCTGCACATCAGTCCTGAATCCACAGAGCATGGGCCTGGGTGGAGGCGTTATTTTCACCATCTATGATGCACCAACAGGTAGGTTCAACCTCGAGAAGACGTGGTCTCAGGTGGAACCATTAATGTAGCAGCATGTACTGCTCCTCAAAAAAAGGATGGTTGGTCACTTTTGACTACTTTGAATCCTAGGTTTTTAAGAACCTAGGAAAATTAAGGAAGCCTAAGCTACCATCAAACTATAGCTTTATATGTGGATTGAATATGGGGTTTGTGAGTGAAATAAGAGATTTGAGATTTGAATCTAGGTAAACTTTGTCAGGATGTTGGATGTTATTCATCACCTCCATGGAAGCTGTGTGGATTTTTCAATGTGTTCTCCTTTGGACTGCAGGAAAAATTGAGGTGCTCAATGCTCGTGAAAGGGCTCCCCAAAACATCACTGAAGGCTTGCTGAAAAAGTGTGGAGGCACTTTACTTCCAGGTAACTGTACAATTCAATAATACAATGGCTTGTATCAATGGGGCTGGAGAGGAAATGCATGCCAGGAGGCTTGAGACCCTGTTCTTTTATCTCTTTGGGAGAATCAGCCTATGTACACCAAGCAATGACCTCATTTCCACTGGAAGAAACATGAAGCTACTTTGGGAAAAGAGCCCCCAGAGGTGGTTTCTCCATAGAGGCAACTTCTCTAAGATGGCATCAGTACATTGGTTGGCCTCCCTCCCCTTCCCAAACCATTATAAGTATTTTCAGTCCAGTGTGTGAATCCAGTTGAGTTGTGCAACCTATGATTAATGGCTTAGGATTCTGTGTGAATTAGACCACTGTAGCTTATTCAACAATTTTTAATTAAAACAATGCATGGCTTACAGTGTTGCATTGTGCCACTTAGATGCAATGGTGGGATTCAAATAATTTAACAACCGGTTCTCTGCCCTAATGACTGGGTTTTAGGTTTAGGTTTTATTGAACACTTATAGGCCGCCCTTTTCCCTGAGGGGACTCAGGGCGGCTTACAATAATGA